AAATGGTATTTTCGATCATTGCGTTCCATCTTCCGATTTATAAATTATTTTCCGCCTTCTACTTCCCGTAAACTATCGTTCTCTTCCTGCTGCAAAGATTCTTCTTGATTAGCTTTATTATCGTGATTTCTAAATTTTGCAGGTTGGAAATATATTTTCAACCTGCAAATTTCCTGCAAGATGACTACTTGATAGAGTAGCCACAGATTCCCACGTGCGGTACGTCATTGGGTAAATGTGCCCCACGCTATGCAAAAATTAATATTTCTAAAAAATAAATAAATAAAAAAATTTTGATGATCACTAATTATGTGCAAAGCCCTCACTGACAGAAAATAAAATATGCAATTTTTGGGAAAATATGCTAAAAAAATTGTTTACTGGGGTACATTTATTTGTACCCCACCAGGGAAGATTAAGGTTAATAGGTTTCTTAGCTTGTATTTGAGGTTTAAACATTTCAGTATCTTCGAAATATTTTCCAATTATCTCGTCATTATTAAGTGGTGTACTAAAGTTTTATGAAAATTTTCATCGGAATCTGATTCTGTACTGGAATCTGATCTAGAAATAGTATTTAGTTGTAAAGGAGGTCTTGAAAATGCGCTGCATTCATATTAAGAGATCCTTTCTTGTATTTGATTTTGTAATCATATTCTGCTAATTTTAATCTCCATCGGACTAATTTAGATCCGGGTTCTTCAACAGAGAATAACCATTGAAGTGGTTTATGGTCAGATAAAATTGTAAATTTCTGTCCAAATAAGTATGATCTAAAGTATTTAGTTGCCCATACTATGGCTAGTAATTCTTTCTCAATTGTGGAATAATTACATTCCACAGGGTTTAGGTAATGTATGACTTGCGTAAGCAATTGGTAAATCTGAGCCTACTGGTCCTTGTGACAATAAAGCGCCAAAAGCATAATTTGATGCGTCTGTAGTCAATGAAAATAGTTTATTGAAATCAGGGTGTTGTAATGTAGGATCATTGATTAATAAATTTTTACAATTCTCAATACTTTTTAAATATTCAGAATCGTGGATTACTTTTTTATCCTTCTTTAAACAAAATGTCATTGGTTTTGTTATTTTAGCGAAGTTTTTTATGAACTTGAAATGATTTTAATTTCTTTTACGGTTTTTGGGATTGGAATTTTTTTTATTGCTTCGATTTTCTTTGGGTTTGGTTTAATGCCATTTGGGGTTATTACATGTCCCAAAAATTCTACTGATTTCTTTAAAAATTCGGATTTGTCTAATTGGATTTTTAGATTTGTAACGACACGCACGTAAATTTTAGACAAAGTCTAAACCGTAAGCGAGCTATCACGTTTTATTTATTGCAAAAATAACGGTTTGTAAATCCGTCAAAAAATTGGGTTTAAAATTAGGCTAAGAAAGAGGCGTAGAATTGTTAATATGCGTCTGTCTTCCGTTCCCCCAATACATCGTGCCTATTTTTGGCGCTCAGGTGCTCCAGAGTGGGAATGCGGTACCCATACTATACAGAGAGGTACCACAAAAGGGTGCCTGGATGAACCAGGCCTAGTGTAGGCTGGGCAAATTTTAAATACAACCCAAAAAATATATACATTAAATTTATACAATGAACCTTGTTTTCAGTTTCCCCAGAATTACCAAATTAACTATTAAATGAAATTCGATTGAGATCGAACATGCCGCCGACCTTAAAATCACCAAATATTTTAACATAAAACAAGATATACCCAAATTATATAAAAGTTTCACCTAATCTAAAAATTCAATCTTTGAAATTATTCCAAATAAGGCAAAGGGCACAGCTTGGATACAGGCCTCTGCAAAAAACCGTTTTTTGGTCTTAACCGTGACTACCCGGCAAATACCATCAGCACCAGGGTAAGTCTGAGTCACTCTAGCAAGTAACCATCTAAGTGGGGGATTCAATTCATTTTTTATCACTACCAAATCTCCCACTTTCAACGAGGGGTGTTTCTTGGTCCACTTTGAACGCTGCTGGAGGGTAATTAAATAATCATGATGCCAGCGTTTCCAAAAATCAGCATGCAACCTTTGTACCAATTCCCAGCGTTGCAAAGTATTCATTTTTGCCTCCGAATAATCTTTGGATGGTAAAGAGGTTAAGGGTTCCAAGGTTAGGAAGTGCCCTGGACTTAAAGCAGTGATGTCGTTAGGATCACTACTTACAGGGTGTAAGGGGCTGGAGTTCAATACAGACTCGATGCAACAAAGAACCGTATACATCTCTTCGAAAGTCAATACATGCAGTCCAATTGCACGAATCAAGTGATGTTTCATGCTACGAACGCCAGCCTCCCATAATCCACCAAAATTGGGTGCAGAAGGAGGATTGAAACACCATTTAATCTTCTCCTCCTCTGCAGCTTTTTTCATAAGCTCTACCATCTGTCGATTAGCACCAATAAAATTAGTACCACAGTCTGATCGAATCACACTACAGCGACCTCTACGCGCTATAAAGCGCTTCAATGCACCAATAAAAGCGTCACTAGACAAACTAGAGACTAGTTCCAAATGCAGTGCCTTGACTGCAAAGCAAACAAAAATGCAAGCATATGCCTTGTGTGCCTTGATGCCTCTGCCTTTCAAAGGCGTTACAAAAAAAGGTCCAGCGAAGTCAACACCAACTTCCTGGAATGCCTTAGCCTGGGAAACACGTCCTGCTGGCAAGTCACCCATATAGGGCGCAATAGGTTTGGGCTCAACTCTAAAACATCTTACGCAAGAAGACAAGCACCTACGAATAGCATTTTTTGCTGACAAAATCCAGAACTGTTGCATAATCAAAAAATGCAAAGTTTGTAAACCTGGATGCAAAAACCTTTTGTGGAAATAAAATATTATCAGCTCGGTAAGGCGATGCTTTTGAGGAAGTAACAGAGGAAATTTTTTATCATAGGGCAAAGTCTTCGAATGGGTCAAACGACCGCCGACCCTGAGGAAACCCTGAGGATCTACAAATGGATTCAACTTTCTCAATACTTTGTCAATAGATTTATTCTCACTGTCTAGACATAGTGTCGGAAAACACTTCTCTTTGCACTTGCCTGACAAGATACAAAAGTGCCTCATTCAAATCTTCCTCACAAAGGGCATCTAAACGAAGAGCCATAGGAATTCCAGTTTGCTTTCTGTGAATATTACTAGGAAATCTTAGACAAAACGCTATTATCCTCAAAATTTTTTCCAATGACGAATACCTATTGAAGATTCCATGAGGATCCGATATAGCAATCAAAGTCACAACAGATTTTTTCTCTTCCTGTAAGCATTCTGAAGGGGTTTTGGTCGACAAATCAGGTGGCCAATAGTCTGAAGAGTACATAAGAAATGAAGGTCCAGCAAACCATGTAGGATGTTCAAGCATCTGCGAAGGATACAAGCCTCTGCTGGCACAATCTGCTGGGTTGTCACTTGTGGGAACATAGCGCCGATTTTCTGGAGAAATTTTGTCTTGGATATGACTCACGCGATTACTAATAAAGGTTTGCCACCTGTGAGCAGAAGATTTGATCCAAGCCAACGCTACCCTTGAGTCTGACCAAGCAAACGTATTTTTTATTACGACTTTACTATCCAGAGCGTCTCGAACAAATTCCACTAAATTTGACAACAAAACAGCTGCACAGAGTTCCAGACGCGGCAAAGTCACCCTTTTGAACGGTGCAACTTTGGATTTTCCACTAACGAAATAAATTTTATACTCGACGCCCACAAGAACGCGAAGAAAAACGACACAACCATATCCTGCTTGGCTTGCATCACAAAACCCATGCAATTCACACTCGACTTCAAATACAGGCATATCTCTAGGAATTTTTAGTAGAGACAGCGCACTCAACTCATGCTGAAATCTTTTCCACTATTCGGTAACTTCTGGAGGGGATTTTTGATTCCAATCGAGACCTAAACTCCATAACACCTGAATTAAGCATTTAGCGAATAGGGTTAGAGGTCCAATCATACCCAAAGGGTCAAAAATCCTAGCCAAATTTGATAAAATGGATCTGTTAGTACACTCATCATTCGAAAAGTCACCAATTTTAAAAGTAAAACTATCAAATGCAGGTTGCCATTGCAACCCAAGGACTTTAAGGCAAGCAGGTTCTTCAGTATCAAAAGAAATGGGCTGTTGATGTTCAAGAGGTGTGTCGGACAAAACTTCCGCACAATTGCTCGCCCATTTTCTCAACTCGAAACTACCTTTCTTTAATAGCTCTGTTAGCTCGAATTTGATTTTCCTACCCGTTTCTAAGTTTGAAAACCCTGTCAGAACATCGTCCACATAAATATCTGACAACAAAATATCAGATGCGATTGGATACGACGCCCTCTCGTCCATAGCCAATTGCCTAATAGTTCTATTAGCCAAATAGGGCGAACTACTGACTCCAAAGACCAAAGTGTCTAATATATACTCCTGTACAGGATCTCCACGATCAAATCTCCACAAAATGTGTTGGAACTTTCTATCCTCTTCACGAACAAGTATCTGTAAAAACATTTTCTTGATGTCTGCTATCAAAACATACTTATGCAAACGAAAATTAAACAAGACAGCAGAAATATCTGAGTGAAGCTTTGGACCAGCGTAAAGCGTAGAGTTTAACGAGACCCCGTTGGAAGATTTCATGGACGAATCGAACACTACCCGCAGCTTAGTTGATATAGACTCCTCTCGTATGACGCAATGATGAGGTATGTAATATTGACCAGGCTCATCATCTAAACTAACAGGTGACATATAACCAGCATCTAGATATTCTCGCATAAAACCTCTATACGAATCCAACAAACCAGGGTTTTTATACAATCTACTCTCTAACGAATAAAGTCTGCGCAAAGCCAAATTTTTTGACTCACCAAAAATCGGATTTTCTACTCGGAAAGGCAAAGCAACCCCATACCTGGAAGATGCATTTCTAACGTGAGTTTCCTTATACAAATTTTCACAGATTTCAGTTTCGGGAGAAAGTGCTATTTTATTAGGAACGCTTTCGACTTCCCACAGTCTCTTGATATTTTCATCCAAATACTCCAAAGTGGTGGAACAATAAGTCGCCAAAAAGCGTCTTTTTTACGAATTTTATTAGAAATTTTGGATTTTCCCAGAGCGACCCAACCAAAAATAGTTTCCATAAACACGGGCCCATTCAAGTCTGGCGAAGTAATCGTATTACCTTTCTTAATGGAACCAAATTCAGCCACGCCTATTAGCATGTCTATGCCACGACTTTTCCAAAATTCAGTATCAGCAAGTTCAAGGCCATCGAAATATGACTTATCAGGAATCTTAACTGGATGAAGTGGCAGTTGACAGCAAATTTCGGGAAGGACTAAAACCTTCAACGACAACCTTGGTTCTGGGCAAAATTGAGGCGTCACAATACATTCTGCAACTTCTCTTGCAGTTACATATCCGCTATTACCAATTCCTGCAATCTGCATTTCACATTTCTCTCGAGGCAACCCAAGACGCCTCAAACAACCTTCCGAAATGAAGTTGGCGGCTGAGGCAGAATCAAGTAGGACCCGAATCGGCAAAAAAATACCACCCGAATTTTTAATTTTAATGATGGCTGTAGGAAAAATCGGGACTGCGTCGGTAGACCAAACCAAAGATGTGACCACGGGAAGAGCTCCACTATAGCTGTCAGATTCACTTTCATTTTGCTCGCTGGCTGAAAGTGATGGAGGTTGCCCCGAAGGCGCAGTTGAATTGCCATTTACACTGCTTTTCGAAAAATGCAACAGCTTATTATGACGATAAGCACACCCACATACCTGTGTAACTGTGCAGTCTTTGACACCGTGGGTTCCAAAACAGATTAAGCACAAATGCCTACTTTTAATAAAACTAAATCTTGAATGTGGACTTTTTGCGAGAAACTTACTACAAGAGTTCAGAGAATGACCCTCTCTACAAAGCGAAGAAACAATTCCACCAGCAACAAAAACACTAGGTGGTTTTCTAAATGGAAGACGCCTTTCCTTACTTGGGGTGGAAAAATTCGAATTATTTTTGACAGCAGCTTGAATAGCATTTGAAGTCTGCATAGCGCGAAGTTGAGTATCCAAAAATGAATAAAGGTCCTTGTAAGACGGTTGTCCCGTCGGAATATTAACATTAAGTTTTCTAGCAAACTCAAGTTCAAATCTATTGCGCGTATTGCTTGGTAATTTGTACAAAAGTAAATGAAAGTTTACGAAATCCCATTGATCAACTAGGTATTGTAAGTTTCTGAGTGCTTCTAAATTTTCAGAAAAGGTATTCAAAAGTTTGCTCAATTCAGCAAGATTCTCGTCTCCCTTCAGAGCAGGAAAAAAATAAATTTCATTCCAAAAATTGGTAGCGATCAACCTATGATTTTCATATTTTTTTACCAAAGCATTATACGCAATAGAGTAGTTATCATCTGTAAGGGGCATAGTACGAACTAAAGCCAAAGGTTCCCCGTCCAAATACTTGAGCAGATATCTAAATTTATCAATGTCAGACAACTCGGTATCACGATGAATGCAACTATTGAACATATCAAAAAATGTTCTCCATTCTTTGTAATCACCCGAAAAAACCCTTACTCCCAATGGCTCTAACCTAACAGACTTTTTAGAGGTACCCTGAGTAGCTGGGGTGGCCGAGGGACCATTATCAACAAGCTCAAAATAAATCGCTTTGAACCCATAAAACATTTTCGAAGTAGTGGCCCTAACTTCATCCTGTTTGGAAAACTCTTCATCTCCCAAAACGGACGTCAAAATTATTATATTATTATGTAGTTCCTGAAATTTCGAAAATTCGTTCAAAGTATCCTCGTACCTACTCTTCAACTCGTGAATTCGGGAGTTATTCGATTTAGCTTTAACTGCTAATGAGTAAGCCTCCTGGATATTATTGGAACAGTTGTTTCTTTGAAAGTTATATCTATTTACTTTTTCAGTAGTAGCGACCGAAAGTGCCATTTTTTTTTTTTACAAAATGAGCCAAAAGAAACCCCAAATTATTCTTATTGTGTTTATTTAATTATAATTAATTTTTTTTATTGGTGAGTAAAATCAAGCAGCATTCAATAATACGGTCCTGTTCAAAACTATTAAGTTTATTATACCAAGGCAAAGTTTCTAGCCAAAGGCCTGCATACAACACAAGTACCCAAAATAAGTATATTTAAACTGTAAAGGTGCAAAAAATTAATATAATTTAAACCTTTCACAAAGGTTCAAGTGAACTGACAAGAATTTCTGGTTTCAAATAAATTCTTCGAATTCCTATGTTTTTTAGACATGGAAATAATTTCAATATTATTCGCCCCAAATAAAGATATTCTGCTATAAAACAATTTATAACCAAAGAACAAGGTAAATTGTAAAAAAAAAATATTATTTAATTAAACAAATGACTATTTGCCCAACCTTTTACCTGGATCTCTTCTCGGCTTTCCAAATTCCAATCCCACAAACAGGTTCTTGTCGAGAACGAAAGAGTCCAGAAAACAGCGGCGCTGCACGAAAATTAAAAAAGAACTTTTTAAGCCCAATATCCGGCTCGAAGAACCATTTAATGTAACGACACGCACGTAAATTTTAGACAAAGTCTAAACCGTAAGCGAGCTATCACGTTTTATTTATTGCAAAAATAACGGTTTGTAAATCCGTCAAAAAATTGGGTTTAAAATTAGGCCAAGAAATTACCTTGTTCGTAGAATTGTTAATATGCGTCTGTCTTCCGTTCCTCCCAATACATCGTGCCTATTTTTGGCGCTCAGGTGCTCGAGAGTGGGAATGCGGTACCCATACTATACAGAGAGGTACCGCAAAAGGGTGCCTGGATGAACCAGGCCTAGTGTAGGCTGGGCAAATTTTATATACAACCCAAAAAATATATACATTAAATTTATACAATGAATCTTGTTTTCAGTTTCCCCAGAATTACCAAATTAACTATTAAATGAAATTCGATTGAGATCGAACAAGATTAAATTGGTCTAATCTTACAAATATCTTTTTAAGATTTGCAATATGTTCTTGTAGAGGAGTGGAAAATATAATAATATCATCCATGTGAACTAGACATATTTTGTTTTGTAGACCTATTAGTACGTTGTCCATGACTCTTTGAAATATTGCTGGGGCATTCTTTAATTCAAAGAGCATACGAGTAAATTCATAATGTCCATTTTCTACATTGAAAGCTGTTTTACTTATCGACTTTGGATGCATTTCAACTTGGTGGAGTTCAGAAGCTAAGTCTAGAGTAGAAAAATAATAATTACTTTTTCCAAGTCTGTCGAGAATGTCTGTTACATTTGGTTATGGTTATCGATTGTCTATCGTTTTTTTATTGATTTTTTTAATCTACCACCATGATGGTCGAATAATGTTATCTTTTAAAATTTTCTGGATCTGTTTATTCACTTCTTGTTTATGAATATGTGGATATCTATACGTCTTTGTTTGAACTGGAATTCCTTCTTTGGTCTTAATTTCGTGTTTAACTTGATTTGTGAATGATAATTTATCATTTGGTTTGTGATAGACCCTAGGAACCGAATTTACAACTTTTTGTAAAGCTTTATCTTCTTCTGAGTTCAAATGATCAGTTCTCGAAAGGTTTAAGGACGTTTTTTCATAGGAAAGCTTAGGTATAAAGATTAGTTTTTTGGGTAATTATCTGTTGTGTGTTAAACAATTGATAATTCTCTTCTTCAAATGGTTCACATATTTTTTGAGTATCATCAATATGGCAATCTAATATTTGAGGACTTTATCTTCTAAATTATTTACATCAAGTGGTATTTTACCATTTTTAATTGGATTGATAGTTGATGGAATATAATGGAATTCTAAATTTTCCTTTAATTATTGTTGTTGTTCCCGTACATGTGGATAGTTTACATTTTGTATTAGTTATGTACTGATTAAAGTATTTTTCAGCTACAGGTCTTATTAGTGAGGCATGATTTTCAGCATCAATTGATATTAGTTTACAAGGTGGAAATTTTATTTCTATAAAAGGTAATTGATTTATTTGGAATTTATTTAAAGTTAATGCCACATCCGAGGCTTTTATACAAAAATTTTCGGATTCATCAAGTCGTTCATCAGGATTTTCAAAATCTTGTTATTCAAATTCACTTTGATTTTCTTGGTTTTCACCAGAGAAAAGGTAACTTTCTTCTTCAAAATTTTCGTTTTCTGAAAAATCTTGTTCAACTAAAAAAAAATTGTAAAATATTATTTTCTTCTATGATTGCATACTGAACAGGTTTTTTTTGAAAGTTTTGTTTCAATCAATCCCTATAGTGCTCTTTTAATCATAACAAAATTTATACAATGATAAGAATTTATTTATACATTTAACTTCATGTTGAAATTGAACACAAAAGAAAATAAAACCTTTCATTTAGAGTCCCGTATTAATTAAAATTATGTTTTTTTTTTCAGATTCACGACTACCAAGTAAGAAATCCGCAACTGAGAGCCTTTACCCAAGAAACACGACAAAAACCGTTCTCTCGAGCTATAAAATCTTATTAATTTCAACAAACTTTGCATTTGTATGGGAACAGACTGTAATATAAAAAAACGCGAGTGTAAGGTATTGTGTATAAATACAATGTTTTTTCAGTGACAAAAGATGCAATATCTTTTAAACAAACTTCTGTGCTGTTTTATTTTGGCAGAACTAACAGAAGGTAAGCTGTGCTAGAATTCTTTTCATCATTCTGATTTTTATACTATGTGTAGTGAAAAACGGGGTGGTCACGTAAGCTTTTGAACACACAAAATAGTAATAGCGATTGGCTCTTCTAAAAGTTCAGAAAATGTCAATTCTCAGGTTAAGTATGATTGGAATTGAAAATGGTCTTAAATAAAACTCTGGCCAAAATCAAATCAGATCAAATGAATAAAAATATCCATAATTCAATTTTTCTTGGATTTGTGTTGGTTGGTTTTGTCATTTCGAAATTCAAAATTCGAATTTTTGTATTAGGCACTAACTGACCTCACACACATAACCTCGCAATGACATTTTTGTCCCCCTATCGAAAGTGACGTTATGTGATTTTTGACGCCTGCGTGTAAAAATAGATCTTCAAACGCTTTGTTTGGCCCCCCATTGAAATTCGAATGTGAGGTTGTGTGTGACGTCAGCTAATGCCTAATTATTTGTTTTTATCATTTCGTTCGTATTTGTATTTATTATTTTGCGATCTGCCTATAGCTGCATTTGGCTTACTAACTCTTTAAACTCTTTTTGCACTATGTTTTGCATTGGAAACTTTTCGCACAGGCACAGTTTTCAAGAAAATGATGCGAAAAGAGCCAAAAGGAGTCAGTAGCAAGCCAAATTGGTTAGTTGGGTTCCAAGTCAACGATGGCGCTGTAATTCATTACCGGTAGGTAACATAGGGCAAGTACACGATCTGACAGTTTGACACACAGAATACATATCCTCACGGATAGAAGGCAAACTGCCTAATAAAATTTTGGGGAACAATGCGCCATCACTGGCGCCGTGGATGCGATCCGAACTATTTTAAATATAGGTTTCTGTAATCAAATCAACTTTTAATTTTCATTTTAGGTTTTAATTTTATAGGTCTCTGGCGGCTATTTGCAAGGCTATAACAAGGGTTATCTAATCTAAGTGGAGCTTTAAATGTGGCTTGTAGAAACAAAATTCCCATTCAAAGCTCCACTCAGCTCAAGGATCCCCTAAGTTTTAGCCGTGCAAATGTCTATGGTGCAAATAGCCCTGGGTCATTTTTTGGAAACCGATGACGTTCGTTCACTGGGTCGATTTTCACACCCAGTAACACAACACTTTTTAGGATGTGTCCAAGGACTTGGAGACAACATAATTGTTATTTATCGGTGAATTTATACACAAAATAATAGAGAAATATAATAGTAGTAAACTACGAGAGACGTTTGTTTAATGTAACAATCTGGAAGTATGTTTGTGCACATACCCGTAGCGTATTTCGCATGGTGTGGCAGATTATTGAATTAATTACTTCGATCGTTGCTGACAACTCGGTTTAATTTGTCTTTGTCAGCAAATTGCCCGAAAATGTTCTATCTTTTTTTAACACATACAAAATACAAAATTTGACAAATGATTGAATCCAAAGACCATCAATTTATTGCCAGTAATAAATCACATAATAACTCTTTTGCGTTTCTCTAGATGTCGCTGACTACAACAGAATTGTAAAATACCAGCACATCAAGAACACGTCCGATGTCGATAACATTGATATGAGATTTACATGTCAAAGACAATATGCCAAAATATTCATTTGATCATAACTAATAATTCATAATGTTTTTCGTTCGCCGGTCTTGCATTTCATCTTTCACTGTGTTGTCAAGTGTTTCTAAGTGATTTCAAAGTGGTTTTGTGTGTTTCACGAAGACGTTCAAACTTTATAGATTGGAAGATCTATTTTTATCTTTGTTGATTAGATTAATGACAGGTTCAATTAAACATCAATCAGAACTTTGAATAAATATGTTAAGGATATCCTTAACCATCGATAAAGGAACTGTCTTTTGATCTAATTAACAAAACATCAATTAATTTAAGCAAACATTAATGTCCCAAAGTCTAAAATAAACAAATTTGAACAGACCGACTGTAATGCGAACAGGGCGCCATCTATCATAAAAATGCCTTGAAGCCCTATGTAAAGTAGGTGTCTGTAGCGTCGATGAAAAACCAGTAAATAGTGAGTTTCCAATATGGTAGATGGCGCTGGCTTGTCTCAATTTTGTTGACAACAAAATTTACACTGAGATTCCATTCTCGACAGTTTATATAGTATTTATCTCTGCCATCAATCAAAAACTGAATGCTCACAATCATAACGTAAAATTTCTTCTAAACTGCTGGACAATTGCTTTCGAACAAGGTAAATATCGCCTAACTTTCAAGCTCGATATTTTTGGAACCAGACTAGATATCGACCTGCGGTTTTCACGGGCTGACAGATTGACTTTTTGTGAAAAAAACTGCTATTTTGAATTTTTTTTAAATGTCTATTTTTTTTTATACAGGGTGTTAAAATAGTCCACGATTTTCATCCCAATTTTAAAAGTGTGTAACTTTCTCAGAATTTTTTTTAAATTTTATTTCTATGCGGCGTTTTAATCAATGATCTTCTGCAAAAAAAGTAATTTCTCAAATTTTTTATATTATCTGCCTTAGTTTTAAAAATATCGACTTTTTTTCATAACCTCCACTTTTTTCAACTTTTAAGCACCTAAACCATTCTGTACAATAAATCTTGCATCTTATGCTGCTGTTTGATATACCCCACGATATCCTGGTTTATTTTCAATAAAAAAAAAATACTTAAATAATGTGGTGTCCAGTAGCGTACTAATAATCGCCCATTTTCGGAATAATTTATTAATGGCTCACCGATTTTTACATTCAAAGGTGCATAATTTTAAAATAATCATCTGAAGTTTCATTTGTTTAGTTCACTTTAATCATTGACATATTATTAAGAAACCAATTTCTCAAAATTTTGATATTTGCCTTTGGTTTTAAAATATCGTTTATTTAACATAACCATATTAATTTTTTCGATTTTTCCGTTCTAAACCATCCTGAATCGTTCTTACCGGTGAATTATTTAGCAACTGTTATACCTTTCAGCCAACATATTTACTATGAATAAAAATATCGAATACCTCAATGATATGCTGTACATTGGCGTGCAAAGAGAAATTATTATTTTTCATTAAATCAATTTTATTAGCAATTGTCATATCTTTCGATTAGCGTATTTTTATGATTAAAAATTTCGAATACCTACCTCAATGATATGCTATACAGTGGCGTGCTAATAATTATTTATACCACTGATAAAATTTAAATATTCGGAACCGATTTCGTTGTGGTGAGAGGAAACCCGAATTTTTATTACCTGCTAATTTTCTTTGTAGCTTCATGTTTAAAGGTATTTCAATTAAACATTCTTCCACTAATGATAGCAGTATCACAATAGTACATTAAAATACAAGTTTCATAAGACGTCATTTTATCGCACGAGCCCTATATTAGAAAACGAGCCGGAGGCGAGTTTTCTAAAGGGCGAGTGCGATAAAATGTCTTATGAAACGAATATTTTATACTATTTTTTCTATTTTGGTATTGTTTAATTAAAAAAAAAAACTTTTCTTGGAAATTTTATTCTCATATTTCCTGATTTCATATGTTTAGGTTGGTAACACTACATGCCAAATATAGAAATCTTCTATTATTTTTTATCGCGAATGACAGTTCGATGGCCATCAGTCAGCCAGTGTTACCAACCTGCGATACGTAAAAAAGGAGTGTCACAAAGAGCTTCTTTTCGAAACTACTTTTAGTGTCGAAAAGACTTCGATATGACACCAGAATAGAAAAAATAAAGTTAAGGATGGTAAATTACATTATCTGCCAAACAAAAAATTATATGAACAACGTTAATGCTTCTTTAAGTTGATTCAAAACAAAACACAAAAAGTGTTTCTATAGATTTTTTACGTTATGTTTAGGATGACGTCGTAGAACAAGGACTGACAATGTTGTCAATGCCTATTTTTCTCCTTATAATTTACCAGAATGTCATAAAAAATTATCAAAATCACTGACAGCTAGAAATAACAAAATGAATCTACACGTGTTATTTACTTGAACCTGATACACTCCGATGGTAGAGTGTTAGTATGGAGGCAACCTGCGGAGCAATTTGAAAAAGACAACATGGCTTCTCAGAAAACCTTTGGAGGAGGAGGGTTTAATGTTTGGGCCGGAGTGATGTACAACGATAGATCCGACTTATACATTTTACGGGGTACTGTTAGGGTAGAGTGGGCGAATGCCGTCCTCTTAAGGACTTTCGATAATAAAATGTTAGCCAATGAGATTTTAGGCTGCACGTAGGACGAAAATGAAACAATATAATATGCTTGATTTATTTTCATTACAAGAAACATTACAGAATGAAAATATTAATTAGAAAAAAAATAAAAAAGAAAATGGCGTACTGGCCGGGATTCCCCGCATGAGTGGGGTGATGCCGGCATCCAGGCCGGGATTCCCCGCATGGTTGAGGTGATGCCGGCATCCGTTTACCATCAAAAATCGCAGATATATTTCTTCTCCTTGGTCATGTCTGTGCAGTTTTTATGTGCCCATTGGCCGCAAAGTACACACCTTAGCCAAAGTTCCCTATTTTTTCCGAATTCTCCGCCCACAAGACAAACATCTTCAGTAATCTCTTTGTCAAAACTATCGGCTTCCTCTTCTGTATCTTCATTTTCTCCAACTTCTTGGTAATTGTAACATTAACAGTAACATTAAAGCCCTTGATAGCTTTTTCTGGTGTAGCCACTCTACTGAATGCTTTGCCAAATAATTCAGCAACTTCATTGGGAGTTATTTTCTCCCCTGGATGACTGGTCAAAAATTTGTCACACTCAGTGTGGTAGGCAGACTTCAGGGATGAATAAAGCGAAACGTCTAGCGGCTGGAGGCGATGAGAAGTGTGGGGTGGAATGGTCAATATGATAATACCGTTTTCTCGAGAAAAATTGTAGGCCTGTAGGGTACAATGACTGACGTGGTTATCCAGGACCAAAAGCACTGAATCTACTTTGGACGACTTCACAAATAACTGAAAATGTTTTAGCCATG